ACCAAAAAAAGCTGGAATAAATTTTTCAACATGGAAAATGCTACTTTTTTTTTCTCTGTGCTCAGTCTCAGGAAGAGTGGGATAGTTTTTTCTTGAAACCTTCCTCAAAAATAAAGAAAAAAAGAAAAAGGAATAGCCTGAGGCAGACATGCAGCATGGAAAATGTTAGCCTAAATGGTAAATTTATAGACAGACTTTGAGCAACTGAAGAGAGGGTTTTAATGGAAACCATCAGGCAACCTTGCCTATAGGTTCTGCTACCTGTTGTGCCTCTAATTACATCTTTTAGCAATCCTCACTATTGCTGAACAGGGAGAAAAAAAAGCCAAGGAAAGAGTTTTTCATGTGATTTTAATGCTCCAGAATACTTCAATATATAATAATGTCTAGTGGTCACCACCTACTCTATGAAGAAAAAAAAAAAAATCTCTAAGAGCTTTTTAAGGCTTTGGGTGACAAGACAACATTGCAGGGGGTCGCAGAGGGGTGCAGCCTGGACCCCTGGCGCCCACAGGGACGCATTCATGCCTGGCTCACATCCCCCCTGGGCCTCGACAGCCCTAACATATTATTATGCTTTGCACATATAAAATAATGCGAGGATTAGGTTGCAGCAGGCAACTTGCACAGCTGGGCTGGTGGTACAGTGCCACCACACAGAGATGCTCACTTTGGGGGTCTCCCAGGGGTGCCTCCTCCCTAGTGGGAGCATCAGGAGGATGTCAGGAGGGGAAGCTCCACAGTCGGCAGGGAAGTCTGCATGTAACGCTGTGTGTGCATGTGTAGGAATTGAGCAAGATTTTGCAAATCGCTAGGGTTGTATTAACGATACTGAACATACTGACCACCAATTACCTTCTAACTACACTTTAATAAACTCCTAAAAATGCTTCAATCCTGATTTTGATTTACACTAGGTGAGCTGAGAGGTTTTTATCCTGCAAAAAGCATTAATCTGACAGAAGGGTGTTTTTGTAGCATGATACCCCCAGCACCCATTGCCCCCCTTGGGGTGCAGCAGGTGGCACAGGACCTGACAGGATGCTGCTGGCAGCTCAACTACACAAGGGCTAATTCTCTGCAAACCCATCTGGTTTTTAATGCTGCAGAAAGGGTTTGTTTTAACAGGAAACCTTGAAAGTAAAAAAATAGAAGACAGGATACAGGACGGAGAGCAGAAATGAGCAGCACATTGGGAGGCAGAAAAGGAGATCTGCAACTCTCCTGAAGGAAGGTGCAACGGAGAATGCCAGGATGAACGACGCCATGGAGAAGGGTGCGCAGTGGCAAAGGAGGAGACGACAGTGCAGGTTAGATCTATTAACAGATAAGGAGGCAGAGATGAAGCAGAGCTACTGAAACAGGCACTCAAAGAACTGTGAGCAAGGTAGGAAGGACTAGAATAAACGCAAAAATAGAAAAAGACAGGGAAACAGAGGAGGAGGTAGTGATTTCTTGTGCTAGAGGGAAGAGAGAATTCAAACAGATTATGAAGAAAGAAGTATTTGCTTGAACTGCCTAGAAAAGCAGCCGCTGGGAGGACAGTTTTGTCTACGAGAGAAGAAAGTGGACTGTACGGTTCCTGGGAAGCATCAGAGGAAGCAGAAAGCTACGCAAGCAAAACACCTGGAGGTAGGATTGGAAGAATGGTGACGGCCTGAGAAGGTTTTTCTATAAAATTAAAAATTGAAATAGTTCTAGTCTTCCTTTCCTACCTAGAAGAAAGAGGAAAATTCAGTATGAGGAAAATAAAACTGGTAACAGTAAGGGAAAAAAAACTTTCTCTATATCTTGTTTCTCGCTTTTTTTCCCTTAAGTACCCTTATCTAGAAAAACAAGAAAGGTCTGAATTTAAGTCTGATGTAACTTTTGTTAATTTTAGCACTGAAGGTATTTCTATTCAGGAAAGTGCCTAACTCTCATTTGAGTGAAAAGGACTTAAGATACAGCCCAATGCAAAACATAACTTTAAGTGCTTCCCAGTCACACTCTTGGATCATCAACATGGTCTCTGATTTAGCCCCAAAGCAGCAAGGAACACAGAATATGCAACAAATGAGCTGGCAATGTGCACTTAAAGCCCAGAAAGCCAACCATGTCCTGGGCTGAATCAAAAGAAGTGTGAGCACTCGAGGGAGGTGATTCTGCCCCTCTGCTCCTGTGAGACCCCACTGGGAGTACTGCGTCCTGCTCTGGAGTCCTCAGCAGAGGATGGACCTGGACCTGTTGGAGTGAGTCCAGAAGAGGGCCACAAAGATGGTCAGAGGGCTGGAACACCTCCCCTGTGAGGACAGGCTGAGAAAGTTGGGGTTGTTCAACCTGGAGAAGAGAAGGCTCTGGGGAGACCTTAGAGCAGCCTTCCTGAAGGGGGCCTACAAGAGAGATGAGGAGGCACTCTTTATTAGAGAGTGTAGCAATAAGATGAGGTGTAACGACTTTAAGCTCAAAGAGGGTAGATTTAGATTGGATATTAGAAGGAAGGCTTTTCCTGTGAGGGTGGTGAGGCACTGGAACAGGTTGCCCAGAGAAGCTGTGGATGCCCCATCCCTGGAGGTGTTCAAGGCCAGGCTGGATGAGGCTTTGAGCAACCTGGTCTAGTGGGAGGTGTCCCTGCCCATGGCAGTGGGGTTGGAACTGGATGATCTTTAAGGACCCTTCCAACACAAACCATTCTATGATTCTATATGGTGCTGATGCTACCCATGGATCAATTTTACTTCAGTGTGCGTATTTTTTTTTGTTTCTGGAAATGATCAATATTCATGTAAAAGTTGAAGGTTACGACTCTACACAATTTCAAACCTGCATTTCTCCTTCAGCTGGTAGAGGATTAGCAACCAATTCAATCTGACAGCAATGTCCTGTAGCATGTGCATACATGCTTGTTTTCAGCATGAAAGATGACCTCTGAAGGGAAATCTGTCTACGCCCATGAGAAATATATTTAATCAGTTAATTTATGCAACAACATTGCATTTGATTATTTATATTGTTTTACGTTAAAGAAAGAAAAACACATTCCAGCAAAAGCTGACAAAAAATAACTACCTAGAGTGCATGTTGCCACTATTCTTCTATCATATTTATTCAAATTAACCTGAATGTTTATATTACAAGAATTAGTGATAGCAAAATGAGTACAACCGATGAGAAAAAAGAAAAATTAAAGAATGCTTAATCCTTTTTTTTTCTTTAGCTGTACATTAATAGGTGCTGGAAGACTGGTTAATGATTTCTGCCAATAACAGCACAAAGGCGATATTGTCAGGGTGGCTCTGGAGGCCCAGAGCTCGTGGGCCAAAATCCCTATGGCATGTTAAATTCTGGAATTTTGTTAATGAAACTGGGGTAGCACAGTTCCAGTTTTACAAGATCAGGAGGTGCTTACTATAGAGGAGACTACTACCAGAGCCAACTAGCACCTTTGAAAAGAAAACAAATGGGAAAAATTCTGGATGAGCTCAAGGTCAGGTGCAGCTCAAAGCTCCAAAACCAAAATATAAACTAAAATTTCACTTTTTCTTTTTTTCCCCAGACAACATGGTGAAAAGTTCTACTTTGATTCATCATTTCCTGACATCATGGCACAAAGTCCTAAAATTATGTCACTGTATGAAGCACAATAAAACTTCTTAAACTGTCATTTAGAGGTTTAAAACAAAACCCAGATCAACTGTGAGCTTGCTTCCTATGTCCAAGCCTGTTGAGAAGGCACAATCCACACTCAAGTACTGAGGAAACAGGAGGACAACCAAAGATTTATGGACAACAGGATGCTACTAAACATCAGAATGAACCATCACTGTAGTCCTATACAATGATACACAGTCACCAGTATATCAAAAACCAGATGTGAGAGTTGAAGAAAAAAGGTCTCCTAGTCGAGAGACCTGTTCATTGTGCAATTAGGTACACAAGAGATGTTATAACACAGAATCATAGAATGGTTATTACTAAATGCCCTGTAGTCTCAATAGGCCTAAAGTAAGGTTATCTATCAGTACCCTCCCTTTCCGCCTCAAGCAATATCTCATTTCAGGAGAGAATTAGCCATATTTTATTCACTCACATGCAGTGAACCTTGAAATGAATCTCTCTCATTCCTTTCCTCATGTTCCCATCTCTATCACTAATGCTTTCTTTATAAAGCTATGCTTTTCAAAGTATCTGGGCACATCTGTTTTCTCTTTTCTTCCTCCACCCATCATGTCACCATCTCCAACAAGTTTTTGCTCCCTCAGTAACTGTTGTGTTCTCATTTTTTCTTGCTCTCCAGCTACCCTTTCTGTGTTCTTTGGACACCTCTCCAAGAGCGCATCTGCCCTTCTGGCATGTGCTTTCTTCCTCCCTTCACACCTCCATGGGCCTCTCAGGTCCTGTGTCTGCAAAACTCATTCCCAACATATACACTCTGTGTGGTTTCCTTCCCTTCTGCTGTTTAATCTGGAAGAAGAAACCTAATTCAAAACATCGCACTGCCACTCCTTGGGCTTAATAAAACCTACCTCTCTAGTAGAGAGGTGCTAGTGCTCTTTGGTCCAAAAGCCTGTTCTTCTCATGTTCCTACAGCCCAACAAGTGCTTTCTCTTTGCATGGAAACAATCCCTCTGACATTCCTTCCCTTGCCAAATCTGTATCACCTGATGAGTCTTCCATGTTCATCTATGATGTTTCATATATTGTCACTATTCTGTTGTCATATTTCTTCAGCTTCTGGGGAGGATTTATTCCTCTCAGGACAAAGCTTGCCATGAGATGTCCAAACATCTAACACCACTGATGACCTCAATCTTTGTAAAAATATTTATTTATTTTAAAGAGCATCTGGGATAAGACTTTTAAAGGTTCCTCCTGATAGTGTACGTTATATGTCTTTTCAGCAAACAACACAGTAAGTTTGGAAACTAAACTAACAACCAGCTTTATAATGACTCCACATTTTCCTCATACAAGAGAAGTTTTAGAGATGCCACAGATGCACAAAACTCGTTCCACCTTACCTTTGACGTGGCTTCTCCCATCCTCCAACAGTGGTACTACTATAGTGTTGTTCATATTCCCAGGTGATCTCACAGCTGTATAGACAACAGGTACCGACTGTACTACCACGGGGATACGGTGCACGTGACTCATTTTGTTGGACTGCAAGTTCATGGGGCTTGAAGGTGGTACTGGATGGATAATGTGCAAAAACTGCTGGCCTCCAACACCAGATGCAGAAGCCACAAGAGGACCCGGAGTTAATACTGATGGTACAGATGCCGCTGAGGATACCGATGTTATTACTGTGGGTGATGAAGCTGGCCGACTAGAAGAAGTAGAAGTAGAAGAAGGGGAGGAGGCTGACGCTGTCATGGAAACAGGTGAAGATGAAGCTGCTGTAGGGGACGACCTGGCTTTATTTATTGACAAGTCCACTGGTTCAGTCTGTGTTTGGAAATGGTCTGTAGATAATGAATCCTCCATGGGGTCTGCCTTCACGTTGTTTAGTAACAAGGGTACAGCTTCCATATCTGGGTAGTTGTGGACGTTTGGAGACTGCTGAGGAAGGACAAAGGAACATAGTTACGTATGTGGCTAAACATGAGTTGCACACGCAATTGCTAACACACATCACACAACTTGGTCACGAAAACCACTTGTTTCCTTCTATCAGCTCATAATTTTAAAGGACAAATCATGCCAGAAAGCACAGATATGTTCAGTTTGAATCAAATATTAAAAAAAAGTTCTATTCTTATTTCTTAGAAGGTGGCAGGATTAACTGTGCAAAATCACCCTGTTTCTTTGCACTATGCAAAGCTGACAGTGACAAAAACTTTAATATCTCCACAGGTAACTGCTATTTATATTGACAGGACATTTCTTCCCAACATAACTACAGCATTACTCTCTTGTGTCATCTCCAATGGACACGAAGAAAAACTAGTCACAACCATTTTTCAAACAACTTCCTGCATGCTTGAAGACTGTAATTTCCCCCCTACTTTTCTCCGTTCTTCTAGACTAGGCAGCCCTTGCTTCTTCTTTCTGTCATAAATCACCTTTAAAAGAAGCCTTAGCACTCTTGTTTGCTCTTTGCAGTGATCTTTGTATTTTGTCCACACAACTTTTCAGAAGGCAGTGCCTTACGCTTAACAGAATCCTTCAGTTCAATGTTTGACTTTTTGCATTCTGCATGGTTATCAGTAATGAATTTACAGGGCAGTACAAAGCCAAACGACGTTTGTATGCTTGTCCTTTTACAAGAAGCAATGGCTACAGGGATTCATTATTCTGAATTAGCACATTAGATAGCCTTTCCCATTGTTATAATTTTTTTATTTTTCCATATTAATTAAGAACAATTTTCCTGACTTTGCAAAATAATTCTATGCGTTAGACCAACTCCTTCAAAGCTGGTTGTCTAAATGTATTCTAGACTGGTGCCATCTGCTATTTTTATAGTTTTATCCCTTATTTCCACCATCAGAAAGGTTAATAGAATTTTTGAATAATGCTAGGCCAAAGATAGATCCCTGGAGAAGCTCATTTGATATATCTTTCCTTTTTGACAGTACATCATTAATAACTACACTTTAAAAATGTTTTTTCAAGTAATTTTCAACAGGCAGAGCAAGAAAGGAAATGCCCATCAATAACCCAGTAGTAAGACACAGCACAGCTCACAGCTCCCTAGCTAAGTACCTCCATGGCACTACATTGCAGCAGAGCTTCTCTACAGGCACACACACACACACATCATTATGTGCTGTAGTATGGAAAATTAACCCCGATAAAAAACATTTGCCAAGCTACTTCAAACCTCAGTTGACCCAAAGCAATTATTGCAATTCGCAGATCTAACAAACAATCTTTTTATGGTACCTAAGCAGCTCTAACACTTTCCTCAATCTCTAGATTATAGTATATAACAAGTATCTAAAAATGTGAAGTCAGAGATATTTAAGCTACAAATCTTTTTGTTCATCTACTCTAAATAAGCTAACAATCAAGCAAGCTATGAATTCACTTTGGGACTGTTATAATCAACTACGTTAAACATTTTCATGGAGGACCCTCCTGGTTTTGAGTCAGAGCCAAGTTTCATCACAGAATGGAGTTCTATTGCAACAGGAAAATAGAAACCCTAATATTAAAAAACTGTAATAATAACAGCCTAAGTGGATATTATCCCTGGCATGCTGAAAGATGACATGTTCTAGTAGATCCCATCTATTCAGCTGATTTAGACTGGTTCTTGGATCTGATGTTTCCCTCCATTTGAAAGCAAGAACATTTCTGGAACAGCGAGTCTTTTCCTCTATTCATACACAAATCAACTTAAAACAAAGGGACTCCAATTCATCCGGTCCCTGGACCCTGCTGTTCTGCTGTAATACAAATCACAAAAGCAAAAAATCCCTTTATAAAGACAATGGAAAGTTCTCGTGCTAAGAAAGAACATGGAGTGAAGAAGAGGTCACTCTTCAAAGTTCATAACCAGCCAGGAGTGACAAGGCTATGAAATTTCTTCTTCAAGAAGGCAAAACCACCCGTAACTGCCCAGTGATGACTCCCAGTAACTTCCTCTGAAACGCCTTATATCCTGGCTGTTGTCGGTAATTAGATTCTGTACTAGGCATACCGCATGTGCCATGATAAAGACAAAACCATACGCATACCTGGCACAAGTAGTTCACTTGCCAAATCCTGATGAGTCTTATACATGCAATGGGCAAACAGACTTGTTCTGCTTAAGTAAACAGACTGGCGGCAGAGTGAAGGCAAGGCGGAGAGGGACACCCTGCACAGGGTATACCCAAATCTTCATATGGCCAAAGGCAACATCTATCTTAAATACATGAGATGAGATAATAGCGATAAATTGGATCAACTCACATACAAGGGAGATGAGGAAGCCCCTTGTTCACACGGCCAGGCAAAGGGCATCTAGAAGCAGTACGAATTGTCAGCTCCATCCACAGGGCAGATAAATGTGCCACGGAAGAAACCCTACATGTTGGCATACTTCCAGGCTTCCCCTGGGTGCCAGGGGGAGGAGATTTCAGGTTGACTCAATGCTGCCTGCCTCAGCAGCACAGCTTGTTACTGTACCAGCTGAAGGATAGATTACCTCACTGTTGCTTTCCTCTGTTGGTCTTCAGAGGAAACATCCTGGCACCTTGAAGTGCTCTGAGGGCACCAGGGGCTTCATGTACCCCGTGTATACACAATAGACCGGCCAGACTGCTCCCAGGAGCTTTCTGACTTCTGGGACTTTTCTGAGACTGGACACAAAGGATCCACATGGACCTTGAAAACAGTCCACCACCAAACTCGAGAGCAGTCTGCCCCAAGTCCCACCTGCCACTGCAGTAAGCACCAATAGGTCCCATACAGGAAAAGTAAGAAGGATCTCAAACCCTTACACATCCGATGCCACATTAAGTACTTTTTTTTATGGAGTCAATTGTCTTTGAGACAAAGTGGAGGTCATTTATCACCAGAGACTTACAGATTTTTCTGGATTGTGCTAAGAACAGGCCTCTGTTTTGCTATAGTAATTACACCTAATATTTTGCAGAAAAAAAAAAAAAGTAAAAAAGTATCATAGTATCATGTAATCCCTCTTCTTGTCCAGAGCTGCTGGACAGGCTAAACAGTCTTTATGTACTACGGTAACACAGCTGATACTATTAGTTCAGTCTTCAGTAGTGAAACTAAACTTGAAACATTTACAATCCCTTCATTAATTTCTCCAAACAGGATGAAAACTGGTACGCCCTTCAATGACCTCCTTTACCTGCCAAAACTCTAAGACTAAGAATGCCCTTTCTTTGGCAAATTCAGGCTGTGACTGATGTCAGTTGACATTGCAGAAGACAGTAGGATCCTTATCAAAACAGGTTTGTACATCCCGTACTTAAGATAAAAATTGTAAACAAGTGTTATATTTTGTTCTAGTGGTGGTGAACAAAGAGATCTACCCCAACAACTCATGCTCCCCTACAGTGATCTGTGAGATGCTTCTCCAAGATCTCAGATTTTATCTAAGATGCCAAACTCTATTTAAACTGCACTTGAATCAAAACTTTGAACATTAAGTTATCATCACTTTCTGAAATGGATGGTATAAGCAAACCTTTCACAATGACAATGACTATTCCAGAATTAGGAACTATGTGACGAAGGGTAGGAACAAAGCCAAATGGGATGGCTGAATTCTCAGCACGCTATTTCTTAGCATCTCCCCAGAAGGTTATTAACTGAGAATTAACTGTTCAGTACCCCAGACGATGACTGTTGCCATTAGTTTTATTTAACAGAACCACATGTTTTCTAATTGATAAGATCACAACACTATGGCTGGGATCTTCAGAGCTATACCTTCAGCCATTCTGTCAGCTCATAAAGTCAAGTGGATGAAAAATAGTTGTGTGTTGTTTTCTTCCGTCTCTATGTTCCTGCTTTTCCATCCTCATCTACTGAACCACGCTTCTTGTGGTGGTGTGGGCTCAGCAGATTGCTAGTTTGGGGCATCTGAAACAGGTTTTCCCCATCTGGCTCACAAAACTGTCTGTGCTGGTTTTGCAAACTTTGTTTTGGTCTAAATTTTGTTGTTGAGAGTTGGGGCAGCTTCCAGAGGATTTGGTGGGTTAGAAAGGGTTCAGCCTGAGGTCCGTGTAACCCAGTGGGCTCCCTTGGGCACCAGCCCAGACAATAGGAATACAACATGAAGGGGTACAGCTCCACGCGGCTTCCCTCATCTCACTGCTCCTGCCTACTGGTACAAAAGAGAGGGACAGCCTCAGCCCTGCCTCCAGCTAGGACTTGGAGACAAATCTCAGCAATGCCTCCCTCTGCAACACTGCTGACACATCCTTATGTCGCTCACCATCCACTCAAATCCAGGCTGAAACAGAACTGGAAGGCAGGTTAGGATGGCTTGCTGCTAGAAATGGCTTTTTAATAAAGCTGCAGCCTCTACCAGTTAGTGTACTTGGCTCATGCTCTCTGTGCCTGCCCTTTAAAGCTGTACACCAGCATCCTCTGCAGCGCTCTGTTTCATTTGCTTGCTGTTAATAAACACGGCCAGGAACATAACATGTGATTTCCCTATTCACAAAGCTTTTTTTGGCTGTGTAAAGAAACATTCCTTACTGCCTGTTTCCCTGACCATTATGGAAAAACAACCAGCCAGCCACACAACTAGCCACAAGACTCTGAGTGAAGCATGGTGAAGTTATGGCTGATAACGTGCTATCTGCTGGATGGCCATCCTCTCCTGCACAGTTCGACTTCATCTTCCCTCCAGCCCCTGAACTCCACCTCCTCTTAACTTACTTTAGGGTAAATTTTACAACAGCCCCTTTCCACTTTCTTATACTACTCGTGGCAATCTTCTCCATGTACCAGCATCATCTCCCATCCGTAACCAAGCTATGAAGAGCTCATAGTTTCCACACAGCTGAGGTTAAAACCAGTGAAAAAGCAAAGATCATTTTGTTTTCAGCAACTCATCCTGATGTCTTGCAGTTCATCAACCTCACAGGGTACTA